CTGGTACCTGACCACAGGGTGTCAAGTACTATAACCCAGGGGCCCAAACCAAATGCCCACAGGGCCAGGCAGGCACTGTGAGTGGGTAAAGGGAGCCAGGGAAAGGAAATAATATTCCACAGTGAAAGTGAACAACAGAAAACATGCCACACAGTGGTGTGGGGTGGGGGTAAAAGGGAGGTGGTCCACTGAGGACGCCGGGTCCTTTTTTAAAGAAACAGTCACAACTCATTTTAGCCTACTCTGGCCTGGCAATGTGTTCACTGTGACTAGAACTATGGATTTCTCAAGAAATGTCTTAAATCTGAATTTTTCATGTGAAATATCCCGTTTTAAATGTTGGCAACTTATTCAGAAATGTTTTTAAAAACTGTATATGCTAGGGGTGCCTGGGTGGCTCAGTTGGTTAAGCGACTGCCTTCGGCTCAGGTCATGATCCTGGAGTCCCAGGATCAAGTACCGCATCGGGCTCCCTGCTCAGCAGGGAGTCTGCTTCTCCCTCTGACCCTCTCTCCTCTCATGTGCTCTCTCTCTCTCTCTCTCTCTCAAATAAATAAATAAAATCTTAAAAAAAAAAAAAAGGAAGTGCAAGGAGTTAGAATTGCCGTAGAGACTAAATGAGGCCATCTGAGCGAATGCACTTTAGCACCTGGTGAATGTGAGGTGGTGGTAGTGTCCTCACTGATTCACTCTAAAGAATGTTCTTTGACTCCATCCCCACCCACTTTGTTTTAGGCCCTGTGCTAGGCACCGGGAATATAGCAGTGAACGGCACAGAGCATTCTCTGCCCTCAGAGGTCTAATGTGAGTCTTAAAATTTTACAAGTTCTGGTGCAGCCCCTAAATCCCAAGTACCATTCCCACTAAGAGCTAGCATTGTTTGGGTGTTGACAGTGCGCCAGCATTTTTATGCATGTCCCAAGTGTTGGTAGGGAGGATGCTTGGCAGGTGCCCAAAAGCACCAGCAGCGCCTGTCACTGAGCTCGACATGCAAGAGCCCAGTTCTGAGGGGACAGTGGCTTCTGTCCCTCAACAACCCCTCTTCAGGACAGGCAGGCCAACTCACTCACCGGCAGTCCCAGGCCCAGCCTAAGATTTCCAAAATTCATGTGCACACTGATTATTAAGATCTGGGGAAATGTGGGGGCGCCTGGGTGGTTAAGCATCCACTCTTAATTTCAGCTCAAGTCACGATCTCAGGGTCGTGAGATTGAGTCCCCTATCAGGTTCCGCACTGGTGTGGAGCCTGCTTAAGAGTCTCTCTCTCCCTCTCCCTCTGGCCCTGCCCCTGACCCCAGCTCACACGCTCTCTCTCTCTCTTGCTCTAAAAAAATAAAAAAGATCTGGGGAAATGTGCCCCCAGAGCTAGTGCTTTAAGTGAAGGCCAAGCTTCTGGAGGTGTTGTCCAGTCCAGTAAGAGCTTTGTGGTCACCCTCTTAGTCTGTTTTGGCTCCTCCCCTCCTGTTCCTTCTCTCTTAGGAGCTCAGTTGGTTAAGCGTTCGCCTTCGGCTCAGGTCATGATCCCGGGACGAGTCCCGGGATCGAGTCCCGCATCGGGCTCCCGGCTCAGCGGGGAGCCTGCTTCTCCCTCTGACCTTCCCCCCTCTCATGCTGTTTCTCTCTCTCTCTCAACTAAATAAATAAAATCTTTAAAAAAAAAAAAAGAGCCTATGAAGTCTCTATAAATGCACACGTGCTTTTCCTCCCCAGAACAACAGCAGTGGAAGCCTCACAGGCAATACCTATGTCTACGTGTTGTTTATTTGTAAGATGAGAACTGCTAGTCCCATGAAGCCAGGGATATGTTATAAAAATCAGAACTGAACGTTGCATATCTTTCAGCTGAGCTAGATAGAAGTTATGTGGACTTGCTTAGGCCAGAAGTTCTCTTAACAGCATCATTCAGAACGGAGCTACCTCCACAGTCATTCGAAACTGCAGAAGCAAGCACCGAGACTGAGAAAATGGAATGATCAGATATTGAATATGAAATTAATACCAAGCGAAATTAATACAAAGACACCCACACTTCAACACATTGTATAACTGTTGCACAAACTGCAGAACACCAAAGGCAGAAAGAAGACTCCCAAAGCAGCCGGGTACCAAAGGCAGATTCCTCCAGAAGAGCTGCTGTGCAATGGAGAGCTGCCCTCTCAGCAGCAAAAATGGCAGCTGCAATATAATGGGATAATACAGAAAGTTGTAGAACACAGTGGGAAAGTAGCTTAGAAGTGCTGAGAGGAAACAATTGTTGGGGGAAAAATAACGTTTTCTGACAAATAAAACTGAATACTACCAACCGACCTTTCCTAAAGAAATTACTAATGATTGTACCTCAGGAAGAAAGAAAGTGATCCCAGAAGGAGTATCTGAGATGCAAGAATATCTTCATGACTCAAGGTAGGGAAAGATTTCTTAAACTCCATCAAAGAAGCGCAGTCTGTAAAGGAAAAGATGAACATATTCAATTACATTAAAATTAAGAACTCATTTCATCAAAAGCCATCATAAAATGTGTGAGACGCATCCTGGAGGAATATAGTTGCAATAATTATAACAGTCAATGAGATCCACACTATTAGAAAGAATTACTCTGAATCAATAAGGAAAAGGCAAACCCACAAGAAATTTGTAACGAATAAAAAACAATTTAAAATTTTACAGAAGATGAAAGACATAAAAGTAAGCTCAATCTTATCTGTAATCATAAAAAATTAAAATCTGATGAGATACATAGAAAATCCCAAGGAACATACCAAACGACAACCAAAAAAAAAAAAAAAAAACCCTTAAGTAAGTTTAGCAAGTTGCAGGATACAACATTAACACACAAAACAATCGATCATGTTTCTGTCTATTGGCATTGAAAAATTGGGAAATGAAATGTGTAAAAAGCAATACTATTTACAATAGCTCCCCAAAATAAAATACTTAGGGATAAATACAGGAAGTGTATATAGTATCTCAATGCTAAAAAGAACAAAATATCAATAAAAGAAACCAAAGAACATCTCAATTATTGGAGAAGCGTACCATGTTCATACCATAGTAAAGATGTCAATTCTCCCCCAAACTGATCTATAGATTTAACACAAAATCCTAACAGATGGATATTGTAGATACTGACAGTCGGCTTCTAAAATTTGTGTGGAAGTGACAGAACTAGGGAAGGGGAGGAGCTATCTCCTGAGATGGGCAGAAATGTGAGCCACCTGTATTGACAACTCTTTTGATACCGTAACTTTACAGAAAGTTTTAAAATCTGGTAGTGTGCTTCCTCCACGCCAAGGACGGCTCCCTCTCCCCATCACTCCAACTCTCCAGTTGTCTCATAGTCCAACACATTCTTTTTTTTGCAAAATTATTTTATGGCTTTATAAAAGAACAAATTACCCACTAGGCAGTGTAAGAAATAGAACATTGCCCCTGTCTTTGAAGTTCTCACTACACTCATTCCCAATCCCATCACTCTGTCCCTCGGAAGGGTCATTCTCAGAAGGTGCCGAGGAGAATAGGTTCTGAGGGAATTGGGGAGTGGCAGTGAGTTCAGATTTTGTATCTATTGGATTTAAGGAGCTTGAGGGGCAAAGCCAGGACTGGGGTGGGGGCAAATGAGGTGCTCAGGGTGCAAAATTTAAAAAGGCATTCACTCCCGAGGTCCAGCGAGTGCAGGGTTGGCCCTGCAGTGGAACATCCAAATAGAGACATCCAAGTGGGCAAGTGGATGTGTCGGACTGAAGGCCTGGGATCGCCAGCCTATAGCATGCTTAGAAGCACGTATTTAACAGGAATGAGGAGAGGGAGAACCAAGGAGGCTCACAAGGATATCCTAAGGAGAACCCAGGAAGGAGAGGAGCCTAGAAAGTCCGAGACACACCACCAACAACAAAACCACTTGGTGCTCAAGTTGACCCTCTCCCTCAGGCCTCTAACTGAACATGCTTTCTGATGGACATTTAGTTCTTTCCGTGGGCTGACCAGCATGGGTAAGCAAACAAATGCAGAGCCCAGAGAGAACGAGAAGAAGGTTTGGTTTCTCCACCAAGGGAATAATAAAAGGCTGGACAGGGCTGAGGTGATTAAACTGGAATGGTATCGCCCAACTGGTACCTGACCACAGGGTGTCAAGTACTATAACCCAGGGGCCCAAACCAAATGCCCACAGGGCCAGGCAGGCACTGTGAGTGGGTAAAGGGAGCCAGGGAAAGGAAATAATATTCCACAGTGAAAGTGAACAACAGAAAACATGCCACACAGTGGTGTGGGGTGGGGGTAAAAGGGAGGTGGTCCACTGAGGACGCCGGGTCCTTTTTTAAAGAAACAGTCACAACTCATTTTAGCCTACTCTGGCCTGGCAATGTGTTCACTGTGACTAGAACTATGGATTTCTCAAGAAATGTCTTAAATCTGAATTTTTCATGTGAAATATCCCGTTTTAAATGTTGGCAACTTATTCAGAAATGTTTTTAAAAACTGTATATGCTAGGGGTGCCTGGGTGGCTCAGTTGGTTAAGCGACTGCCTTCGGCTCAGGTCATGATCCTGGAGTCCCAGGATCAAGTACCGCATCGGGCTCCCTGCTCAGCAGGGAGTCTGCTTCTCCCTCTGACCCTCTCTCCTCTCATGTGCTCTCTCTCATTCTCTCTCTCTCAGATAAATAAATAAAATCTTTAAAAAAATAATAATAAATAAAAATAAATAGGTAATCCACTTTATAAAAAAAACTGTATATGCTAACATCGTTTGGGCCAAGAAGACACAATCCACAGGCCAAATTACCCAAGTCCTTCCATCAGTGAGCTCTGTGTTAACCACTTGAATTTTCTAAAAAAAAAAAAAAAAAGTCTACTCTTCCCCCATGGCCAGCCTTCCTGGCCTACCTTGATTCTCACCTAACTTCACCTGAAGAGCTTTTATCCAGACAGAAGAGAAGACAGATGCCCTGTAAAGCGAAGTATGCCCTACACAAGGCTCTTCTTTTATGGTTTCTTCTTACAGCTATTTGGGTGCTGGGTCTGGATCCTGGTAGCTGCCACCCAGGTAGCAAACCCGTTGCTGCAAGGATGGGTGATGTATGTGGCGCTCACCTCGTTTCTCATCTCCCTGATGTTCCTGATGTCTTACCTGTTTGGATTTTACAAAAGATTCGAGTCCTGGAGAGTCCTGGTAAGAACCAGAGGGAGGAACCCAGGCCCTTGGGCTCCTCCTGATGCCCGTCCTGGGTATTGTGAGGACGAGGGGCCTTCTGGGCGGGGAGGGAGAGCCACAGACCAGCGACCAGAGGCCTTGTCAGGGCTGGGCCACTACAGAACCAAGACTTTTTATCTGAATGTGTTTACTAGTAAGCCAGAGTGAAAGCACTCCTCTGCCACGGTAAATGTTTCATCGTATTCCTCCACTGTCTTCCTTGTTAGGAATATACATATTCGATATCAAGCACATCCTGACTCATTTCCCTTTAAATTTTATTTATGGTTAAATCGTTGGAGCAGCATTGAAGGAAATGATAGTAGGGGGGGAAATCACCCCAGTCCCACAGTGATTCCTCTATTCCTCGCAAATTTTATGTAAAGTGTATATATAGTCACACTGAACCAATAATTTTGGATATCAATTCTTTCATTAACATTATGTCATTAAATTGTTTTCATGTCACATCGTCTTGATAACCATTTAAAATGTTTCTGTATTGAACAATTAAGAACGTATACAAAAGTAGGGAACATCATATTATGGACCCTCAAGTAACCAACACTGAGATTCCTGTACTATTAACATTTTACCACACTTGCTGCACCTAGCCTTTTTTTCCTAAAGAATTTTAAAGCAAACCCAAAACATCATATCATTCCATTCTACACACTTCAGTATGCCTCCAAAAAAATATGCACACTTTCTTACATCATCACGCTTATATAAAGTTATTAACAATCATTCCTTGGTATCATCTAAGACCCAGGCCATATTCAGATTTACCTGGTTACACCTGAAATGTCTTTTTACTGTTGGCCTGTTTGATGGGGATCTTCACAGGGGCCACGTGTTGCTCTTGGTAGTTATGGTTCTTGGGTACCTTTAACCTAGAATGGCTCTTCTTGCCAGTGACTTGTTGAGGAAGGCAGGTCAGCTGTCCTACAGAAGGTCTGACGTTTGGGATTTGTCTGTTTGCTTCTTCCTGGTATGATGTGACTTGCTCCTCCAAGTCCCTGAATTGAAGATGGGTGAACCTTTCTGGCAACAACGTTTCATTAAGTGGTTTCTGGTCACATCACACATGGTGGCTGGTGGCCCCTCTTCCAGCATGACAGGCTTACCCCCAGCCACTTTTTCCCTAATGCTTTTTTTCATCCCCTAATGAGTTTTCCCCGAACCGAATATCTCTTTAGGGGTTGCAAAATGCCAATTTGCAAAATGCCAATGATGACATTCCTTCCAGAATTGATAACCCTTTTTAATGACTGCCTGACATTCTCGAGTTGAAGAAAGCACACTGCTGAGCATTTAGCAGAGAGGCTCAACCATTGGAATCTGGAGTCCGATAAGCCTGATACTACCAACTCCACCACATGTTAGCTTAGCCCCAGTCCCATCCCCTGCACGTTGGGGGTGCTAATAACGGCAGCAGCCTTACGACATTAGCTGTGGGAATGAAATGAGGCAGTGTGCATATACTGTAGGACAGTGGCCGGCACATAGCAGGTCTTCATAATGCTAATGGTTAAGAGCACAGGCTCGGAGTTAATCTGGCCTGGGTCCAAATCCTGACTTGGCTATTTATTCATTGACCTTAACCTTGACCTTCTATTTCCTCAAAATGGCACTAACGTTAAGTAGTGCCAACCCTATCGTTGACAAGGTTACATGAGGTGCGTGAGAAAGGCTTGGCACGAGTAAGCGCTCAGCCAAATGCTGGCTCGTATTGATATCACTGTTGGCATTTATTAATCCACTATGGTTCACTGCATCGATAGTTCACCAGAAACACTGCAGAAGGAAAAAGCAGGAGGCTGGGAGCAGGCTCGTCTCTTTGGCCCACTCCTCCCGGCTGTATAGGCCAAGGGGAAAGTGTTCACCTGCTTATGTGCCCCCACGGCCATGACGCTGGCCGTGGCCTCCTTCTGCCTTTCCAGGACAGCCTGTACCACGGCACCACGGGCATCCTGTACATGAGTGCCGCCGTCCTGCAGGCACACGCCACCATCGTTTCTGAGACCCAGGACCTGAAGAACTACTTCATCAACACCGCAGCCTCGGTGAGTGCCGGATGGGACACAGAGCCGCGGGGTGGGGAGCACATCACAGGGGCTCCCTTCTGTCTCCTGCGGACAGAGGACCCCGAGCCTCAGGCTGATGGGTCCTCGGAGGACAGGAGGAGGTGTGTGTGTCTGTCTGTGTCTGTGTGTATGTGCTGTATGTGTGTGTATCTGGGTCTCTGTGTGTGTGTGTCTGTGTCTGTGTGTGCGCACATGCACATGTAAACAGCCGTGTGCAAGCTCGAAGGGTACCAAGCCCAGGTTCAGGTGTCATCTCTCATTTTCTGCTTTTCCCACCTCAGCCTTGCTCACTCGTATGCCCACTATACCGCCCTCAGAACTTTTCTAAAACACAAACTGGAGCGCATCTTTCTCCCCTATTGAAAATTCTTCCATGGCCCCCACTGCTTGTGGAATGGAACCCAAATTCCTCAGCATGGCCGAACTGTGCCAGGGTCCCTTTGTGTCAGTGACGGCAGTGCACAGGGCTAACTGTGGGCTGATGGAATCCAGGGCCAGGTGGTCCAGCCAGTTGTAGGGAGAGCAGGTCTGCCAAGACCTTAGGTCCACTAGGACCAGAGACTCAGCCAGTGCCCGCCTTCCTGGCAGCCTCTCTTCTCCCATGGGGGAATGGCGCCCTCACGTGGCAGCTTGCTCACAGCCAGCAGCTTCCTCCTCTGTAGTGGCCTAACCTTCCTTCCTCCGCCTTTGAACACTCCTCAGAAAGGATCTAACATGCGCACTGGGCGTAAGCCCAACAGCGACCAGTCGCTGGGACCAGAAAGGTCACGTCCTGCGTCAGTGTGGGGGCTCCTGCAAGGATCAGGTGGCAGGAGGAGGGGGTGCGGCGTGGGGAGCCATTCTCCACTGTAAGAATGGGGCGCCAGGCAGGCACTAGGGTGGCCTTTCCAGCCTGTCTGCCTCCTTTCCCCCCTCCTCAAACTATCCTAACTCCCCTAAACTCCTGACTCCAGCAAAACCCACACACGGCCGCCTTTCCGCGGTCTGGCCCAGTGCCCTCTGGCCTCTCTCCTCCTGCCCGCCCCCCACTCCGTCAGCTGCTCCAGCCTCGCCGGCCTCCTCCAGCCGCGCCTGAACACTGGACACCTGCTCTCGCCTCTCCCTGGCAGGGACAGCCCTGCTCCAGGAGGCAAAGCCCCGGCTTCCTTCTCCTCCTTCTCGGGGAGGCTTGCCCTTCCCCCTCCCCAGCAGGCCTGTGTTCTCTCTGGCGCCTTTTCTCCTGGGCGCTTATCCCCAGCGAACCTGCGCCTCTCTTGGTTTATCTTGCTTACTTTCTGCTTCTGCTGCTAGGATGTAAGCACCGTGAGGATAGGAATTTTTGAATGTTTTGTTCACTCTTATGGCTACTGTCACTTTTGAAGTATAGCAGGCGCTTGGAAGATATTTGTTGAATGAGCAAATGAACGAATAAATGAGAACAGGGTGTGAGTGGACAGTGGGGCAAAGTGAGGCTGGAATGGTCCTCCAGGCCTGGGAGGCCTGTTAAGGGCAATGGCCTCTATCCTGAGAAGCAGGGACTCCTCACACAGTTTCAAACATATGTCAGGAGCAGCGCAATCACATCCTCCTCTTGGGACAGATAGAGGGGGAGAGTGAGCAGAAGTGGGCAAGTCGAGTCCACGAGAGGTCTTGGCGAAGGACGGCGGCGGCCGAGACAAGGGGTGGTCAGGCAGTACACGCAGACGAGTTTGGGGATGGCCGTGGACGTGGGGGGAGGGGGAGGGAGGCCTCAGGCTGGTTTCTGTCAGGCAGCGGGATGAGATAGGGGTCCTGGAGCCCCCTGAGCTGGTGAGGCTAAGGAGGAAAGCTCAGGAGTCCAGTGTGGACCACTGAGAGCTGGAGGGGCCTCCGAAGCATTGACGAGGAGCTGACAAGCAGGCGCTCAATGCGGGGTCCTGGGCTACCAGGTGGACATGTGGGGGAAGTCATCAGAGTCCAGACTGGCTGGGGTAAGGGGACAGCGAGGGAGACAGGACCCGGGGCAGGGACTGAGCGAGCCTGCTCTCTGCCCAGGTTCAGGAGGACATGTGTGCCCAGGAGAGTCGGAGCGGGAACCCAGGAGGGTGCCCAGGGATGGCAGGTATCAAGGAGGGTGGAGAGGGGGGCCAGCGGTGTCTGCCTGGCAGGGCATGGGGCAGGCAGGGGGAGCAGGGTCAGGACACGCGGCCTCCCAGACTGCAGGGAAGGGGTGGGGGCGGCCGTCGGCCCTGGCCATCGCTAATGCAGGGGCCTCCGGTCTCCTTCCAGTTCTTCGCCTTCATCACTGCCCTGCTCTACATCCTCCACGCCTTCAGCATCTACTACCACTGAAGAGGCAGGGAGCCGGGCCGCGGGGAGAAGCGCCCCAGCAACACCTGGATGATGGGCTCCGGAAAGTCGCTCTCAACATTCACCATGTGGATGACAAACAGAAGATCAGCAAGAACATCAACAGGCTGGACAGGCCAGCTTCTCAGACTGAGTGATGAAATCGCACTCTGGCATCTCTGTTTGGACATTTTTAATTCATTATGGCGAATATGAAAAAGCTGGGGGGTTTGTTTGCTTGTTTGGTTGGTTGGTTTGGTTTTTGCCTGGGAAAGTAACTGTCCCTTCTGACAGGGAACCTCACTCTTCTGGAAAACCGGTATCCAAAGTCCTCACAGGTGAGAATCCCAGATCTGCCATTGTCACACCTGTTTGGGGATTCTGCCTCAGGAGTGAGGTTCCCCCGGAGCAGGTTTAAGGGAACACTCACTCATTCTTGTTTTGTTAAAATCAAAATGGTGCTGTCGATGCCTTCAGATCTGAAGAAGACCCACAGACCTTGTTCCTGAGGCATGGTTCCACCTTTGCTTTGGAGCAGTGGTCCAAATCCGCTCTCCCCTCCCCCGGGGGAGCTGACAGGGACGAGCCACACTGCCCCCCCCCGGCCACCATCCCGCTCCCCCCTTCCCTTTCCTCCCTAGTTTTGGGATCTAAGGGAAATCTTCATAAAAGCAACTTTGAGGGTAGATTTGTGGGGAAAATAAGTGACTGACTCTACAAAATTGTTATGCAGTAAGAACTGGGCAGGGGGGGGGGGCCTGCTTCTCCACAAGTCAGGCCTGTCAGAAAACCGCAAGGCTGCAGGACGCCTGTGCCAGGCCTCCAGAAACCTGTTTCCTAAGGACTAGAAGCCACCTTTTCCCTCAGAAAAGACCGTCAAGGAAATGAGGCAGGACGTTCCAGGCAAGGATTCTTCTGTGGGCTTCTGTCCCACCACGTGGGACATCTCGGGAGGCCAGAAAGGACCCCCATCCCAGGGTCCGTGCTCTTCCACATGGACCCATGCCCCCTGCGTCCCCCTGAGTGGCACCAGCTGGGTGGGGCCTCATGCGGGGAAGGGCTCGCACACCCCGACGTGCAAAGGCATCCGTGATTTGGGGCCATTCTCAAAGGAAAGGGTGGCGTCATGCACACAGAAACATAAAATCGAGGTGCTTGATTTCAAAGTAAATGTTTTTCAAAAGGCAGCTGCGCTCTCTGGCCTGTCTTCATCTGTGCAGGGTTCCAGCCCAGTCTTCCTTCCGAGCACCGGGCCTCCCGCCCCGGGGGGGGCAGGGCATGGCCCCACGGCTGCACGTGTCTGCTCTGGTTTTGAAATGAGATAAATTATTACGGAAAGGGACTATTCTTAGCTGATGCTGGGCTTACAGTTTTGCACCAATTTTTTTTTGCTGCTCCTGGGGGATGGGGGGCGGGTACAGGGAGCCACCAAAGAGAAAATTCTGGCTTATTCTTGTTGACCACTCACTTCCTGACCGCTGTGTTATCTTGAAAAGCCACCATTTATCCATTTCATTGCCTGGGATGATTACTGTTCGATATTTACCAAGTAGCCACATCCAAATAAAAGTTCGTACAGTAAGAAGTATTAAGTTGGTCACTTTCATGATGTTAGTGGCTGGAACTGGCCACCATCCCACGCATCCTGAGAGCAGTTTCACCAAAACACCCAGGGGAGGGTTTGAGGGCCCAGCTCCTCGGGCAGCTGCAAGGGGGGCCGGGTTTGTCTCCAGGGCTTGGGGTCTGTGTCATTTCCACTTCAGCTGGTTTGTTCCAGAAACCAAACTCCCAGCTTACGCAAAGCTGGGGGTGCGCTAGCCGGGCCTGGGAGGTGAAGAGGTCCCCATAGACACAGAGGACCCTGGCCCTCCGTGCCATTCCCACTCTTCTTGACAGAGTGCTGTCCTTCTCTCTTGCCACACTGCAAGGCGCCCCATCCATGACCCACAGGGGGCCAGGCCTGAGCCCCGGCTCCCCCAAGCTCACAGCAGTGGCCATACTGCCCAGCCTGCCCCTCATCACTGGGTATCACAGGACCTGGGTTCCCAGAGCCAGGCACCACCCTCAAGAACACTCGGCCATTCCTCCAGCCATGGATCAAATTCTGTCCCTCCCTGCCCCCATGGTGGCCCCGTGTCAGGATGATGGCCGTGGCCAGCTCGGTCCTGCTGTTGCCTCCATGCTCATGCTGGACATTATGTTCCATCCTCCTGGGAACACGAAGGCCCTGTCCCTTTTGTCCATGTGAAAAGCCCTTGTTAATCTTGCAGGAGATCTTTCTTGTCCCCTGCCTTCTTGGGTTGCCTCTGCACCAGGGTGTGTGCCCCATGTGCTATGGGCTATCCCTTGACTAGACACTATGAGGGCACCTGGGTGGCTCAGTTGGTTAACCGACTGCCTTCAGCTCAGGTCATGATCCTGGAGTCCCGGGATCGAGTCCCACATCGGGCTCCCTGCTCGGCAGGGGGTTTGCTTCTCCCTCTGACCCTCTTCCCTCTCGTGCTCTCTATCTCTCATTCTCTCTCTCTCAAATAAATAAATAAAATCTTAAAAAAAAAAAAAAAAAAACTAGACACTATGAGATCTTGAAGGGCAGGGGTTTGGCTCTTGGATATTTTACCATAATTGCTCTTCCCTACCCTCCCTGGCCGGCCCCCACCAGTCTCAGCTCTGCCCCAGCACGGTTGACCAGGAAGAGGACTTGCAAAGGCCATAGCCAGTCTGCAGGGACTGAAAGCAGAGCTGGCTCCTGAGTCCTCCCTGTCTTCACCTCCAACCCACAGTCTGACATCCTGAGCAGAAAAAGCTCTTCTCTGCTCAGTCCTTTACTCCCAGCCTCCCATGGGGCAGTTTAGCTCCTTCCATCCTAGAACCCTAGAACCTCATCCACAGTGAGGAAGAGCCCAGTCACCACCACCAGGGCCAGGCCCGCTCTGGCAGCCTGGGGGGGCCCGCGCCAGGTGGCGCTGTGTCTGATCAGAGTTACCCGGTTTGGCTGCCTTGCTGGTGCTGAGTCCAGCACACAGTAGGGCTAATGAAAAGGTATTAAGGACCCTCTATTGGGGAGCCCTTCTGAGGCAGCTACTCAAACCTGGCCTCCAAAACTGTCTGAGCCAAACTAGGAAGGCACGAGGATTGGGGGCCAGGAGGGGCAGCTGTGGCCTTGAGTGTGATGGGGCAGGGTCCTCTGTATTCCCCGCGTGGAGGACACCTGCAGTGGGGGGCAGCAACTCTGTGTCAGCTGCCTCGTTCCTCATGCCCTTGTTTCCTTACATGGGCACCCTCTCTTACCTCAGGGAAGAAGGAAATGCAGCGGACAGTTGTCTCAAGGTCAGCTCCGCCAAGCTACCTGCCCAGGACCCTGAATTGGGAGATGGTGGAGGGCGGGGAGGAGAGTCCAGAGGAGAGGGCTTCTGCATCTTTCTGTGAACTCAGGCAAAGCATGCCGCTGCTCCCGAACATGTCCTCTGCATAAGCTGGGAGGCTGGGTATCCCCACACCATCATGTCTAGGTGCAGCGCCGCAAGATGGAGAGAGATCAGCGCGAGGTCATGCCAACGGGATGTTAGTTCCAGGCCGGGCTCGGTTAAGCTGTAATCATACCAGCGTGTAGGAATGTCAAGGCGCCCGTAGGGGAAGGTGCGGCTGTGAGGCACAGGCACGAGCTGCGTCAGCAGTAGGTTTGGGAGCCCGAGAAGCGTAATCTTTACGGACTTGTTTAATCGAAACTGGCAGGACCCCATGAGACACCCCTGAGGTCACGTCCCTTCCTTCCGCAATGATAGAAAACAACCTCACCGTCATTAAGATGATGGAACTGTTTCTCCTTCCGGAGTTAAGACTCCTTTTAACGGATAATCATTCGTAATCGGGCGGAGCCCGATGGACGTGGGAAACAGGTTGAAAGAGCTCAATGCAGTTACCCAGCTGCGCCACTGGGTGGCGTGTGGGCTCCACTCGAATACCAGGAGAGGGCCCGGTGACAGCAGGTGGTCGGGCAGAAGTGGCTCGGCCCAGCTGGGATCTTTGGGTATCTCACCAGGGAAGGCTTCTCCTGCACAGGGAGTGACACAGAGGGGCCTCCTGTCTTCAGAGCTTTGCCCAATGCCTCACACATGGGGAAACTGAGGCCCAGAGACAGACTGTGCCTTTGTAGTTTATTGAATCAGAGCTGAAGGAAAGGGGATGGGTGTGGCAGAGACCCCCTCTGTCCCTCACTGTCACTGTGGCTGGGTGACGGCTGGGCCCAAGCCGTGAGAAAAGGTCTCCTCTGCCCGGATGGAGGAAGAAGGGGCTTCTGTCTGATGCCCTTCCTAGCCATCACCAACGCCTCCACCCCTTTTGCTCTGCTATGTTCACCAAATGCCCAGAGCCTTCTGGGTCCCTTGGTAGCGAGCCTGCACCAGAGAGGGACACATGCTGGGCAGGAGCTGAGCTACCATGGCAGCTCCCGGGGGCAGCTAAAGGGATGGGGGGATGTCATGTCACAGGGTTACAGGAGAAGAATTGCAATGTCATCACATGGTTAAAAACCATCATGTTCCTTTAATTAGCTTCTGTCTATCTGGTACATGCCTAGGTTTCCAGAAGCTGCCGGTAGCACCCCCAGCCTGACCCAGCTCCCCAGCCTCCCCCCTGCAGTGTTCCTGCATAGACATGCTTATGGAGGTGGTTCAGGGCCTGGACCTTGCAATTTGGCGCTACCCGTAGCTGAAATTCTGCAGCTGAATCCAAGGAGGGGCCACCCCAGTGTGCACCAGCACCCACGGTCTTGGGCACGTGCCTTCTCTCTGCCTCAGTCTACTTCTCTGCGTACTGAGGGGCATGCAAAGGCCCTAGGGAGCCACTACCTCGTCCTAGGCAGGGGGACAGGGAGGGTAGAAGGGAGAATTGAAGAAGGAGACCCAAGCCACTTTCATGTAATGAGAGGGCAGGTCATGAGGCTTAAGTTGAATCCTGGGGGTCCCCGCCAAACCAGGCTTCTTTGGTATGGATTCAGGAGA